CAGAGAAATGCTGCTGTTTAATATAAAAAGGACTCAGATTGGTGTAACATCCCTTGCCATCACAGCTGAAGAGCTGCTTGTGGAAACCATTCTCAGTTGTGTTTGACCCCTTCTTGTAACAGGTCCCACAGGTGGAGATCCACCTGGAGAGGCAGAGCCGGAGTGTGTGTTTTTAACTGCTCTGGGACTCCATTTACCCAGCTGTACAATGGGCCTCAGAATACCGTCCTTCTTCCCAGAGGAAGCTGATCTAAATGTGATGGTGCAGCCCTAGGCACTGGAGACTTTCCACTTGAAATACTACTTGTGGTGAGAAACATTAACAAATGGACCCATTGACATCTGTTTATTTGTCTTAAGTGAAGTGTCTGCTCTTTTCAGGGTCACAGAGCATTTGCTGCCTTCACTACACAGTGCTATTTTGGGCACCAAACACAGACTGTAAATCAAAACACGACACCTTTCAATTATTTGTGGTAGCAAAAAGTATGCTGAAACTATATGGTTGGCACGATTCTCATTTCCAAATAATTAGTACCTAAACACTACTTTAAGGCACTTCATTTCTTTTCACTGCATCTCCCATCCCTCTTTATCCAAAAAAAGCGTGGGGGGGGTGGAACCAGCATGATTCTTCCCGTCTCTGCTGTGCCTGTGAAAATTTCCATCAGTCCAGCTAACTTTACCCACACCCACAAGATGCCAGAACTGCAGAAATTTTGCAGTGCTTGTTGAAATCTTACTATTCAGCAGTTTTGTGGGTTTCAATGCTTTTAAAATATAACTTTCCATGCTTGCTTGTTTGCACTGGGGTCAGCACAAGGTCTTTGAACCACTGCTGATTGCTTTTACCTGTATTTACATGTCTCTTCACAGCTTTTAACTCCTTTTTTTATTTTTTTTTTTCAACTCAGACAGTGGCATCACTTGAGCTTGAGCCATAGATTTTATATCTTACATTGCCCAACACCGGTAGGCTTTGAAGTTGTCATTTATCATTGCCAACTTTTAAAACTGTCTTGAGCTTTTAAAGAGTCAGTGTATTAAGGTAATACACAGCAACTTCAGAGGTCTGTACTTAGTTCCCCGCTCTGTCAAGGCTTTTTGTCTCCCCTTAAAAAACCCCCACATGCTACATCTGCGATGATGTTTCGGAAAAATGGGGCATAGCGCTCATTTTCATTGGCCCTTTTATGTGCTTGTTTGCACAGTCCTTCACCAGTGTTCCTTCAGTTTGTGTAGAGGACATAAAAATCCATGCCTCAATATAGGCTTCTAGCCACTGGTGTAATATAAATAGCAATAAAATGTGTAAGAAAACATATTGGATCGTGTATATTTACATGGCCAGAGCTCCCAAAGGGAGCAACTGAATGTGCAGAAAACACGATTCAGCCGTAGTCCTCTCAGGTGGCTCATTACACACAGCCTTTCAGAAATCAATTTCTGGTTTAGCATTTTGATTTACTCCCTGGGACAAAGGAGTTACAGACTCCCTGCCTTTTTGCTCTTTGTACATTTTTCTACTCAGTTGTTCAGAACAGCGGACTCTCTTTTCCCTTGTTCATTTATACTAGTGAAAGACACAGTTTTATGCATCTCCTCTTAGACAAATCTAATAAGAGAAGTTGCTTTCAGAAAAGTTGTGTGGTTTAGTTTTTTGCTATAATTACAATGCCCAATTTTTCAAATATTCCTTGGAAATACCTCAGGACAGCTCTGTAAAGGGTACCGAAGGCAAAGTTTTTGAAAGAGTTTTCATTGTGAACCTCAAAGGATTTCAGAGCATCTGTGTAAAAAAAATCATAGAGATTAGACAGAGAAAAATCATTCTTCCCTACCTAATCTGTCATTCTCTTCATGCAAGACAATACTGCTTACTACTGCTTTGACTACTGCAGCTTAAGTGTTTTGAAGAGCAGGGCTCCACACCTCCGTGGAGGATCGTTCAATAGGCTAACACCTAATTCTTTAATTTTACTCCTGTGCCTAACTAAATAATTCTTTTCTGTTCTACATTTATATAATTCAAATATTGTTTCTGATTACTTGGCCTTACCTTTAATTACCAGTTAGCTAAACTATATTTATTAAGGCAACCCTGAAACCACTTAGGAATAATTGGGATCATTCTCTTATAAAGTGTGATGGACTGATCATGTTCTTGCAGTAACAGTTGGTTAGGAAATTAATTTCTCCTTTTTCAGAAGCAAAGATTCCAACACCAGAGCTGGGAAGGAGAAGTGGATTAAGTGCCTGACACAGAATAAAAAAACCTTTTAGTTAAGTTTGGCAAAGGGCAGTGATATACAAATGATGGTACAAAATTGTTCTCCCTTAGGTACAAGGAAGCTAATTTCAGAGAATTTGGAATTCACAGGAATGTTACCGGTGGAGTTTTGAGCTATTCATTTTACTCACAGATTTCTGAGACATGCCTCGTACTGTTCTGCAAAGCAGTGACACTCACAGCTTCATGGTCTCAAGAAAGCATTCCTTACAGCCATGAAAACCACAAGGCAGCACCACTGTTCCTAAACTCCAGACAAAGCAAGAAAAATTCACTGTAAACTCTGTTTACCACATAACAGAATACTTCAACATTAATGAAAGCAATGCTGCAAGTATCAATACAGATATGCTGGAAGGAAAGAAGCAAGACATATGCATAATCTGGCAGTCTTCGTTAGGAAGGAGTGCAGCACAGTGAGAACTTCAGCCATATGGATTCAGTGTCCTGAAGCACTTCAAGGGAGAGCACTTCTTAAGAAGGTGGGATAATTAACAGTCTTTATGACACCATTGCTGAATAAAACAGTCTCAGCACTGGTGATGGACAATGTAAAGGAAGACACACAAACTGTCTGAGCAGATGTTGTCTATCCCTAACTAAGGATATTTAGCACTGGCTGAGATGGGCAGTGAGGTAGAAATAACCCACATAACAAATTCCTCTCATATTTATTTGCTTTTGCTGTTTGTCATCATAAGATAGAAACCTAGTATCGTTGGAGTAACAAACTGAGCTTTTACACATTCAGCTTCACTGATTTTTGTCCTTTTCCTGTTTTGTCAAGAAGGCAACATCCATGGCAAGGTAGCGTATTCCAGAAAGTGTGTGCCAGTGTCTACCAGAAAGCTGCCTGAGGTTTTCTGTACAGGACCAGCCTCCATGAAAGAAGAAGGTAGATTCAGCACCTCCCCTTGGCCCCATGCTTGTGGGCACGTGATATGATACAAATCTTAGCAGCAGCTGAGATTGGGGTGACCCAGAGGAGACAGAAATAATCTTGAAGCTTTGAAGTATAATAATGCCCATGTCTGTCATAACGCCAGATTTATCCTATTATCCACCTCATAAGTCAACATCACATATTTCTGTCATTCTAGACACACAGAGTCATTGCCTACCTGCAGCTGGTAGATTGCCTCTCTCAGAGTAGTAGTTGTCTCATTGATCTATGGCTGTGCTCCCCTCATAAAGTAAATTAAATTAATGTACTTTAAGGAAGACAGATTGTATGAACTAGTTACTTTACATGGCCTGCTTTACTACTACTACTACTACAAAAAAATATTCAAAACTGTTTCCTGATATTTAGCATTTCTGGTTTTAGGTACATCTTGAGCAGTGAATTATTCTGAAAGATAGATAGGAAGTCACTTTAAGAATCTCTGAAGTAAAATTTGTCATAATGCCTTAGAGATTTTTTTTTTTACAGAAACAAGGAAAGGTAATATCGTACTGTATACTCTATCATGTTATTTCTTATCACCCAAGGCAACATTTATTAACAATTGAAGTGTGTACGATCTATTCCAACTGTTAAAAATTGCTGTTGAACTACTGTAACTACTGAAAAGTTTCAGAACTATTTAAAAGATCATGAAGCTTGTTATATATTTTTGTTGTCTACCAAATAGTAGAAAGGCAATTTTTCTAGCACAGAAGAGTGAGTTATTGCAAAGTTATTGCCAGTTACTGCCAGTGTAAGTTGATGCAAAATAATCATAAAGTGCGGTTTGCTTCTGCCCATTTCTCCCCACAACCTATGTCAATATTCAGAGACCGCGTTTATATGAGGATACAGTTTCAGAGCCCTCAGTGGGACAACAGATGCCTAAACCACAGTGTTGGGGAGAGGAGAAAAAGTGGCTGCCTAAGCATGTTTACTTTCAGCGACAAGGAAGCTCTAACTTGTCCCTAAGTGGTGACTCACTGGGTTGGGACTATAAAAGTAAAGGTAACTGCTCTCTAAAGCACCAGGGCTTCAGACTTCAGAAATCCAACACGATGCAATCAAGACTTTCATCCATCTTCTTTTTCTTATTGGGTTTGTCATTTTGCCTGACAATCCCTATTCCCCTTGAAGATAGCCATGAATTCACAGAGAAAGACCTTCAATTTGCAGAGGTATAGTATAAAATATTTCATTTGCATGTTGTATACATAGTAAGTTGTGTAGTTACAACTGTTTGGACACTAGGCTTATTACTTCTTTTCCCTTTCTTAGCGCTATCTCAGGACTCACTATGACCTCCGTCCAAATCCTGCTGGCGTAATGAGGAAGAGTGCCAACACAGTGGCATCCAAACTTCGAGAAATGCAAGCCTTTTTTGGCTTGGAGGTGACAGGCAAATTAGATGAAGAAACATATGAGCTGATGCAGAAACCAAGATGCGGTGTCCCAGATGTGGGGGAATATAACTTTTTCCCTAGAAAACTCAAATGGTCAAAAACTAATTTGACATACAGGTAAATGCATGGCATTTTGAGTGTTATTACTGTTATTACCTTCCTTCCAGGCACCTTGTCCCAATAGGTTGCTCAGATTATGAGGTCGATGGGAGAAGAATGCATTTAAGTTTAACAAAATTCGTGTTGCAGTTTAAAATCCTTACAGCCCCTTTCAGAAAGGTCTCCCAAGCCCACCTTACAGCCCAAGGAAGTAAATACGATTTTTTTCCATTGCACTGTGTCATGGAGGAAAGCTGGTGTGGTGTAAGTTATTAACTCCTCATGTGGCCCCCATGTAGACACTGGGTGTATCCATGGGGCTGAATGAAAGAGGTGTAGGGACTAAGATCATGCACCTCACCACTGATCCTCATAGCGTTTAATCTCTAGGTAACTCCTTTAGCTCTGCTTTGAACCTAGTTTAGTGTCTGCTTCACAAAGGTCCTTGTCCTGGATAAAGCAGTGTAGATGCAAACCCATCTGTGTTAATGTGGCTGTGAGAGCAGGGACTGATCCTTGTCCCTCTCCCATTTCACAATCCAGATGTAGATACCTATGCTTGGTCAGACAAATACCCGCACCATGACCTCAGAAGGTTGACCTTGGGAAGCTACGGTGCAGAAAGGTCACAGAGTAGCTCCTTCTCCCTTAATACTGCAAGGCCATCAACAGGGGGTTTTCACCAGCTGTAACCTGAGTTTCTTTAGCAGATTCCAAATACGGTATCACTGAACTCTATCGGTTCAGTATCTGGTGATAAATCTTACTTTAATTTGGATGATTCTAGCCTATAAAAAGCTCTTTGCATCATGATTTCCTCCTCCACAAAGTAAGGATCATTTTATATGGCATCCAAAAAGTTTGAAGTTACTGATATCATTTAACTTAATACAGAATATGTCTGTAATTTTCTATATCTTCTGGTGCATATAAAGCCACTTACAGAAAGCTGTTGGATCATTTCAGATGTCTGAATAATTTAAATAAAAATAGAAGTTGTTATTTTAAATTTTTTTTAATACTGTATGCAGCTGCCGAGCTCTTTGTTTTTAGATAAAAACATAGGCAGGAAAAAAGCAAAAAATGTTAACGAGGTGTACAGTCAGATAAAAGTGTATTACACACTTTCTTCAATTCACACAATTTAACTGGAGATATTAATCTGTTTGACAGAATTATGAATTACACTTCAGATCTGAGACGTGCTGAAGTAGACAGAGCTTTCAAAAAAGCGTTCAAAGTTTGGTCTGATGTGACACCGCTGAACTTCACCAGAATACGAAGTGGTATAGCTGATATCATGATCTCCTTTGGCACTAAAGGTATCACAGAACCAATTATTTTTATATTATAGTTATATTGCTGCCAATAAAATGGGATAATTGATTTCATTGTTTCAAATGTTGTTTTACAGAACATGGTGACTTTTACCCCTTCGATGGACCCTCTGGATTACTAGCTCATGCCTTCCCCCCCGGTCCAGACTACGGTGGAGATGCCCATTTTGATGATGATGAAACTTGGTCAGATGATTCTAGAGGTAACAGAAATTCTGGAAATTATTTGAAATGTTGGTAGATGGACAATTTCATCCTGATATCTGTAAACAGTTTGCTTTGCCTGTTTACTGTTCATTAGTCATTATGTTTGTAGTTTACACATAGGAAGCTGGGTTTAATCTCCAGTCATAAATGGAAGTATAACATATACCTACCATAAATTTTAAGATACACACCTCGTGAGTGCAGTGATTAAAAAAATGCCACGAACAAGTATTTTGTCAGCTTGGCATTTCACTGAGCTTGAGGACAGCTATTTCTGACCACAGACTTCTGGGAATTACCTTACTGAAGATTGTAGAAAACATATACTTAACTGAACTCCAAATCAGCTACTTGGATCTAATTTGAAAATTCTTCACTTTTCCTATTCAGGATGAAGAACAATGTAGAACAAATAGAACAAAACACTATTTTTTTTCAGCACTGTGTTATTTCACCCTCCTGGCATTAAAGCTAATTGCTGCAATATTGAAAACAATATGGACCCTCTACCTCACAAAAATGTTCTTGATTTGACTAGGACTAAGACTTTACCCCAGAGCCTTCCAGTGTTGCTAAGAAATTTCAAGAAATCTAAATCTGCCTACAGAACAACATTGTCAAATAAGATTTAGGTTGAACACCAGCTATGAGATACTCAATCGATTAGACCCTTATTAAAACAAACCCCCTGGTAGTTTGAAAAAGATGAGCAATTATACGTCATTTTTCCATTAATCCAGTTGTCTCCTTCATTGTCCCATACGTTAAAGCACGATGCTAAGGTTAGTTGATTAGTCCAAGTCCACTTTGGTAATACAAGGAGCTATATATTTACTTTCACTGTGTTTTTTTATAGGGTATAACTTGTTTCTTGTTGCTGCCCATGAATTTGGTCATTCACTGGGACTTGAACACTCTAGAGACCCTGGAGCTCTTATGTTTCCAATTTACACATACACTGGAAAAACTGGTTTTGTGCTTCCTGATGATGATGTGCAAGGGATCCAAGAGCTCTATGGTAAGTCTGTATAATATACAATATATGTTTCCTGTGTCATTATAACATGATGTAGTGCACAGTTACTAAAGAGCTACAGATGTTCAATAGCAACAGTTATGACTGATTAAGACCAATTCACTGGATTCTTGGCAAACAAACTTCAGGAAAAGAAGATGCTTAGATTTAGTAGTTCTGAGGGGGGAAAAAAAAAAGGAAGTAATACTGCAGAGTACAGTTGGTCACTGTGCTGCCTCCTTTGGTGGTGGTGGGTGGGGAGCAGAGTCCTTATACTTTTTTACCTGCCTCAAAGAGAAGTCTAAAGGGAGAAACAGAAATATCCATGTTTCATCATAGAAAAAATAAAACCTTGGTGGACCTTCAAAAATTGGGATGAAGAAAGCAAGTTCATTTAACATTTTTGCAGCACAGCTGAACTACAAAGTTCATGAATGTATTTGGCCAAAGGAGAGAAAGAGAGAACAGATTTTCCTCAGTACAAATAGTTTGCCCATTATGCTCGTCTTCGTCGTGCTCTTTGGGAACTCTTCCATGTCCTATTCAAGATCGTGATCCACAGAAAGGAAATGAATGTTGTCAAACTTAGATCATACTATATGATTCCAGGTGCTGGAGACAAAGATCCCAATCCAAAACATCCCAAAACACCAGAGAAATGTGATGCAGATTTATCACTTGATGCAATAACAGAACTTCGTGGAGAAATGCTGGTCTTCAAGGACAGGTAAAGAGACTGCCATATCATGGATAGTGGGTACTGGATAAAATTTGAGCAAGCAAACCCACCATTTTAGTTTTTTACTAAAGAATTGAGTAAACATAAATTTAAAAAATCACAAACCAATATAGATGACTCTAAGAAACTACATCAGATATCTTTTTAGGCAGGATTTATAATACAATTGCAGACTTGACTTTCCAGTAGTATGAAGTGAAGGTGATATGGCTGAAGACTAACACCATTTGTACACAATTTTCATTCCATGGGGCTTTCTTCAACATGCACAGATCTACTAACATTTATTTGAATGAAGTTGTACTACATTCAGAAGCCTTACATGGGGCAGCAGTGTTTCTCTTATTCTAAATGAAAAAAAGATTTGTTTGTTGTTGTTTGAGGTGATCACTGTGTGAGTGACAGAAATGGTCTGCAGACAGGTGACTATGAGGAAAAGAAAGGTCTACCAGGGGCTCTATGTATTGGAAATTCTATGCTGTGAAAGAAATATAATTCTCCATTAACTAATTTTTAGCATAGCACATCAAAGATACTGCCATTCTGTAGTATGACAAAAAACCATAAGATATATTTTCTTTTTCTGAACTAGGTTTTTCTGGCGACTGCACCCTCAGATGGTTGAGGCAGAACTGGTGTTACTTAAATCCTTTTGGCCAGACCTTCCAAATAAAATAGATGCTGCTTATGAAAACCCCATCAAGGATCTTGTGTTTATGTTTAAGGGTGAGTTTTCAATTTTGTTGTTGGCAGAAATATATACATATTTAGTCAAGCTCAGTAAGTGATGTAAAGGTAAACACCCTACCTTTCTTGCTCAAAAAACACTGTTGGCTTCACCCCATGCAAATCTATACAATTTTCAGTGACTTAGGGACAATTAAGCTCAGACATCTAGGATCATAGTTAGAATAAATAGTTTAATACCTGCTGAGTATGTGACCTAAGAATCTGTTAGTTGTATGAAAATAAGGATCATGGCTTCCATATTTTATTCTGCTCTCAAAGCTGAGCTTTTACAAAACATTCATACTTTGTTCTTATTTTCAGGAAAGAAAGTCTGGGCTTTGAATGGCTATGACATAGTTGAAGACTTTCCTAAAAAGATATATGAAATGGGGTTTCCGAAAGAAATGAAAAGAATAGATGCAGCCGTCCACATTAAAGACACTGGCAAGACTCTCTTTTTTACTGGAAATAAGTACTGGAGGTAAGCTGGAGACAGACTGGTGCTTGTTTTCGGTGTCCCTAGTCATAACTTTTCCAGAAGTATCAAAAGATCAGCAGGTTGTTTCAAACCAGGCTTTTGACAGTGGCTCACATGTTTCCAGTCTGTGCTTTTCATTGGTGCTATAGCTGTGTAGGATATGTCATAAAGGTGTATGCAAGACTTTTATGAACATATAGGCATAGCCTTTAAAAGCTGAAAGAATGAAGGAAAAGAAAGGAGTATAAAGTGCCCTAATCCAGAAGAGTTTCTAATATGGTCATGTCTCCTAGGCAAAATTCCCATCTTGCCTCTCTGAGTTGCTTGTGTGACACAAAATGGTACCAGTGCTGTGAGATTAAGAAATCTATCCCACCCTAGGATGGCTGGGTTTTGCTGTCCCTGAGTGGGGCTTACAGCCAGGCTTGATGCATGATTAAGATGTTACCATCCCTTCCCTGTATCTCTGTGCCAAGCAGCCTTGGGGTAGGCTTGTAGCAGCAATACATCCAGGTACAACCATCTCTATATAACATGTACTTTATAGATCAGTTCTGAATATGTAGGTTCATTAGTTTTCTGTTTACTCAGCTTGTACTACTCGTGGAAGAGTGCCCTGGTTATTGCTCTGAGTTTCACTATTGCACTAGACATAAGGTAGAATCATGGAATGACAGAATCATTTAGGTTGGAAAAGCCCCTTAAGATCATCAAGTCCAACCATTAACATAGCACTGCCAAGTCCACCACTAAACCATGTCCCTAACTGCCACATCTACACATCCTTTAAATACCTCCAGGGATGCTGACTCAACCACTTCCCTGGGCAGCCCGTTCCAATGCTTGACAACCCTTTCTGTGAAGAATTTTTTTCCTGATGTCCAATCTAAACCTCCCCTGGTGCAACTTGAGGCTGTTTCCTCTTGGGCTATTGGTCATTACTTGGGAGAAGAGACTGACACCCACCCCACTACAACCTCCTTTCAGGCAGCTGTAGAGGGCAATGAGGTCTGCCCTCAGCCTCCTTTTCTCCAGGCTGAACAACCCCAGTTCCCTCAGCCTCTCCTCATCAGACTTGTGCTCCAGACCCTTCACTGTTTCTGTTGCTCTTCTTTGGACACGCTCCAGCACCTCCATGTCTTTCTTGTAGTGAGGGGCCCAAAACTGAACATAGTATTCGAGGTGTGGCCTCACCAGTGCCGAGCAGACAGGGGCGATCGCTTCCCTGGTCTTGCTGGCCACACTGTTTCTGTTACACACCAAGATGCTGTTGGCTTTCTTGGCCACCTGGGCACACTGCTGGCTCATATTCAGCTGGCTGTCAACCAACACCCCCAGGTCCTTTTCTGCCGGGCATCTTTGCAGCCACTCTTCCCCAAGCCTGTAACGTTGCATGGGGTTGTTGTGACCCAAGTGCAGGACCTCGCGCTTGGCCTTGTTGAACCTCATACAGTTGGCCTTGGCACATTGGTCCAGCTTCTCTAGATCCCTCTGTAGAACCTTTCTATTCTCAAACATGTCAACACTCCCACCCAACTTGGTATTGTCTGCAAACTTACTAAGGGTGCACTTGATTCCCTCGTCCAGATCATTGATAGAGATATTAAACAGAACTGGCCCCAAGACTGAGCCATGGTGAACACCACTTGTGACCGGCCCAAGGTACTGAAAAGCTGCTGGCTACTTCTGATGTGGGTAACCTCAAAGCACATAAAGGGCACAGGCAAAACTCCCAGGCTGTTTAAATCCTCTGAATTTTTATTTTCTTTTGTTTTTAATATAGTTATGATGAAGAGGCGGAGGTTATGGAAGCAGGCTACCCCAGGCTGATAGAGGAAGAATTCACAGGAATTGGTGATAGAGTGGATGCAGTCTATGAAAGAAATGGTATATAATCTGATAGTGAAACTTAATTACAATTAGCTGTTGTTGAAACTTGAGATTAATGCCCTGTGGGAAGTTCTATCATTTGTACTTTTGATTTTTTCACATTAACACTTCTGTTCTTGACTGAATCAGGGTTCTGACCTAAATTGCCCTTTGGACAAGGCGCTCTTGTAAACTGTGTACTTATATATTTGAGGGGCCAAAAAAGACCTGTCTCCTTGCTTAGGGAACCTAAAGTGATACGCTAAATATAGAAGCATTATAAAGTATCCATTCCTTCAAATGGAGCCCATTCTTACCCAACTCTTCAAGGAGTGTTTCCAAGTCAGAGTCTTACACATTAACAGGCAAACCCTTTATTTTCCTAAGCAAATGTTATATAGTAATGAAATGCAGAGCTTAACACTAAATTAAAATATCAGTTATTTTAAAACACGAATCCAGGTCTGGTAAATGTAATGCAGACCTTGGAAAATTTAGCTCAGCATTCTACATACTAAAATATCACATTTAAAAGAGTTATTAAAAATGAAACCAAACAGGATTGGTTTTATTTGAAGGATTATTTTAACATGACAACACAGTTTTCTCAGGGTTAATTCATTTTAACTTTACTTTTCCTTAGGTTATCTCTACTTCTTCAACGGTCCACTGCAGTTTGAATACAGCATCTGGAGCAAACGAATTGTCCGTGTCCTGCATACTAACTCTATATTTTGGTGCTAATTACAGATGAGTGCCATGCAATAGGCTGCAGAGCAGCTTGCAGTATGTGGAAATAATTATATGGGCATATAGATTTATTAGAGGACAGCAAGGTTCTGTGAATAAGCACTGGCTACCTACCACCAAATGTATACTGTATATATGGAACTATATAGCTGTATGTCAGTCTGGGACTGAATTAACTTAATAAGAAAGAAGAAAGGAAATTATTAGCATTTCAAGGGGCATTAGACCATTTAAAGTTTATCTAGTATTAAAGTGAGATGCTGGATACATCCTATGTGATCATGAGCACTATTAATTCCCAGATATCTGAGCATGTCTAGCATCTTTCAAGGATGTCCTAGCATGTCCCAAGAAATAGACCTGATAAACCCAGGAGTGTCGTATTTTTAAACTAATCCTTCAGCTCTTTGTGAAATACCTGTTAACATACTGCGAATTCAGATGTGTAAAGAATGAGTCAGGACTGCATGGTGACTCCCTGAGCTGGATAACACCGGACTGCAACCCTGAAGTTAGAGAACTCAAAAGTGTTTGAATGAGTCCCCATTTGAATGGGAACGTCCCCCTGGAAATGGATGCCCTCTCATCTTTGGAATGACCAGAAGGTATAGAAGCAATGAGGTGTCATTCCAAAGCAGAGGGAAAAGCAAGAAAAGGGAATAATGTTCCCTGTAGAAATCATCAGACTGTATGACACTGGGGAAACCAGAAAGAAGTAGCAGCAAGAGAATCATGCAGGTTGAAACCTTGCATGAAGCTACATATGGTAACACAGCCCATGTTTTCAGCTGGTGTAAACTGAAGTAGTTCAAGTGACATTTACAGAGGTTATGCCTAGCTGTGCCAGCAGAGAACCTGAACAATCAGATCAAAATATTCAAAAGAATACCTATTTTCATGTTGATCACTTTTTTCATATCTATAGCAATTGTTTCAGTACAATGTAAGATTTCAGTTTTGTTTTGTTTTGTTTCGTTTTTAAATCAATGCAAATGATGTGGGACTGTGATTATTTTTCAGTTTTAAAAAATATTATTAAATAAACTGGAGGAATAAAATGACATTGTGAAATGACTCAGCACTTGTCAGGCCAGAGCTGGAATACTGTGTTCAGTTTTGGTCCCACTATGCAAAAAAGATGTGGACAGGCTGGAGAGGGTCCAGAGAAGAGCCACAGAGCTGATCAAAGGACTGGGAAGCTTGCCGTATGAGGAAAGGCTGAGAGAACTGGGCTTGGTCAGCCTTGAGAAAAGAAAGCTTAGGGGAGACCTTATTGCCGTGTTCCAGTATTTAAAGGGTAGCTACAAAGAAGATGGAGGCTCCCTTTTTACAAGGAGTCCCATGGAAAAGAGAAGACGTAGTGGGTGCAAATTACTCCTGGGAGATTCCAACTGGACACAAGATGAAAATTTTTCATGATGAGAACAATCAGCCATTGGAATAATCTCACCAGAGAGGTGGTGGATTCCCCAACATTGGACACTTTTAAGATTTGGCTGGGCAGGGTGCTGGGCCATCCTGTCTATAACTTGCTTTTGGCAAGAAAGGTTGGACCAGATGATCCTTGAGGTCCCTTCCAACTTGGTATTCTATGATTCTGTGGCTTAAATTAAAATATCATATGCTACATGTCATAAAAGCAAAACAGAGCTATTGGACAAAAGAAAGAAGGAACCCTAGCCTGTGCATTTTATTAACTAAAATTTTCACCTTTATTTAAAAATCATTTTTTTCCCTTTGAGAAAATGAATTTTATAGAAAAGAGAGGAGAGAAAGACAGAAAGACAGAGAGGAATAAAGAAAGAACTCTCAAATCTGCAGAATAAGAACTAAGTTAGAATTAGCCCTTATCATTACAGAAAGTATGAGAAAATAGTAAGAAATACTGTGAAATTCAGTTCCACATTAATTTGAATGCCAAACATTAATATTTAACTGAAACAACACTGTTCTCTTCTGCCTCCTCAAAACCAACCCCTAAGTCAATCCATCAGCCAGGCGTGCCAAGCAAAGTCCATCAACACTGAATACCCAGCATAAGTTATCAGGCTTGCCCACCAATGGGCTAGGTGAGTTTAAACCTGTAACTTACATGATATAGATGGTCCAGCAAGGTAACCTAACAGATTTAGTGGTCTCTTCTGACTATAAAAACTGTGAACTAATGAATTCTAGACCTTAATATGCTTAAAGGAAATGCAAGGAATTAGAGCCGAAAAAAAACTTTACAAATGGAAACACCTAAAGTGGTCTAAAATCAAAGTTCTCTTATATGACATACTGATAAAACTGTTTGAGAAAAAGTCAGTACAATTGTCTATGCATAATAAACAGAAATTCATTCATTTATATATCAAAATCACTTTTGACAGACATGGTGTGCCTGAAAAAATAAAGCTTGATATTGGGCTGCAGTTTAGCTTAATTACTCTGCAGTGAAATAAGGTTCTGGACATGTAACCCCCCTAATCCTCATTATTCTTAGTATAAAGACTTGGTGGAAATTTGTGTCAAAATTATAAAGGGTCTTCCATAAGGGCTAGTTGCTGAGTCTGAGTGCTCTGAATTTCAAAAGTCTGACCTGAGCCTCACTGGGGCAGGAAATGCAAAGGTGCACAGGGAAGCAAGGAGACGTCAATGAACCACTTCTTCACCAAAAGGGTTGTCAGGCTCTGGAATGGGCTGCCTAGGGAGGTGGTTGAGTCCCCATCCCTGAAGGTATTTAAAAGAAGGATAGATGAGGTGCTTAGGGATATGGTTTAGTGGTGGGACGTCAGGGTTAGGTTAAAGGTTGGACTCGATGATCTTAAAGGTCTTTTCCAACCAAAGTGATTCTATGATTCTATGAATCCCTTTCATACCTACATGAATTTCTGTTAAAACTGAACATTTGGCAGGGAAAAAAGCTACTGCATAGGAAGCTGAATCTTCCAGAGGCTTCAACATGATCACATCCAGCTGCTCCCCAGCCCAAACAATCAGATTCCTGTTTGCCACTTGGCTGACTGGAAGTAGCCTTTGGCACAAGCCCAAGCAAGGCTCCAGCTCATGCTTCTGCATCCCCAGTGAGAGATGTGCGCTGCTCTGCGGTCAGCTCTACCTCAGCTGAGAAAAGTACCAGGCTGTCAGTTCCTGGCATTTTGTGATGAAAAAATGGAAAACAAAAACGCTTGTGCTGTGGAAGTGGAAGGCTGAGGTCAGAGCCAGAGGGGCCCTGACACTGCCGTCAGCCAGAAGGGAAACCTCACCACAGGACACGGTGCCCGGGAACCCGCTGCCATCTCATGAGAATAACATTGCACGAGTACCTGGTGCGGACCTATATGCAATATTGCCAAAGGCCATCAAGTATTGAAAAAAAATGAGCCCTTCCCTTGAGACAAAAATTGAACTGACTGCTTTCCCTGAAATGTCATGCGTGAGGGAAGGAACGTGAGAGGCTGAGACAGCTGTGTCCCAGGGTGTAATATAAGCAGAATTAATAACTTCCCAGCAGGTTGCTAGTTCTTATGCGGAACTACACAAATCCACCTAACAGTACATGAACTGTTGTTGATTAATATGTCTTTTATATCCATTTTGATCTCCACTAAGAATGATCATTTGGAAGGGGAGAAAGGATAAGGCAGGAAAAGGAATCTGTCAGATGCTCCTCAGGACTACTTTCTGTGCTGGTTACCTGGTCCTGAACAAGTAGGACTTAGAGAATGTGAATATATATTCCAGGAGAGAAAGAAGTGAGCAAACATCATTTAAACTTTCCAAAGTGAGAAACTAGACAGCTGTCCTCTAAATTCATTAATACCTTGGAAGGGCAACAAACCCTGTAAAGAGGTACTGTGAGCTACGTGAGATTTACTACAAGCTGAGAAACTGGAGAAGGAATTAGATCTTATCAGGAAAACTATTTTTTTCTCAGCATAATGTCCAGAAACCTGCTCTGAGGACACTAGATGGCAGTGGCAGCTTTGCCTCTTAGAGGATCTGCACAGAACCAAAAATAATATGGTGGGTGAGGGAGCCGCAACTAATTAGAGCAAATCCTTACATTGGGTGAAGGTATAAAAAAACCCCAACACTAGTAAGTACAATTTAATGATTATATTCTGTCAAAGTGTGGGTCTCTGAGTAATAAGTTAGGCCGTTAAAAAGTTTAGGAAACAACTTCTAACTATATTCACCGTTAAGGCCACTATTGATGGTCTATTGTCTCAACATCAATGCAATACACATAAAACACTATACCCCGTGGATAGTCCTAGGAATAATGTAGACCCCTAGTTTAACTTCATTCACTGGAAAATTACACACACACATACATAGACATATTCCAGCTCCTCGGGAATATGAGAGTCTTTCAGGATACAACTCAATTTCTGAAAGAAATGACTGCAGAATATGGAAGTAAGGCAAAAGTGGAGAAAAACATCAGTTGCAAAGAACCCAAGAAAAACAGTATAAATATGATCAAAAGTGTCTGAAATATCAAGTATGTGGTCATGTTTGCTTGGAAGAACTTACAATTTCTAAGCCTTTCGCAGTTCATTCTGAGCTAGTATTTCCAGGCTTGTGAATATTTTACAAATGAAGAATATGGTCTTAATCTTTGAATCCTCAATACCGCCCAGGTCAGTAAGACTACTGAGCATTCTGAGCTAGGCAGAAATTGACTTTCCTATCCTGAAAATAGTTTTGAGACTTTAAAACATCTTTACTGTCTGCAATAGAAAGAAACAAGTAATTCTGGAAATTTTTAATGGAAAACTCTTTGTCCTCTGGAACAGCCTGTAGCCATATTGTCAGTCAGCATAGTTACTGGGCCTGGGGGAAGAATACAGTTGCAGTTTTTTGTTCAGATTGATTTAAACAAGGCCCTAGACCTCAATCTTCTAGGTGAAAGAACTGCACATTCACTTATGTTGTGGTGAGTTTCTTTCCATCTGCCTGTGGCAGGTACATCCGCCCCCCGCTGGAGATTGGGGCATTTGGCATGG